CTGGAAATCGAACCCAGGTCTCCCGCATGGAAGGCGAGAATTCTATTCACTTCCTTAAGAGCTACTAAATCGTGTGTTAAACCTTACATGCCAGATACAATAGTTTTCACTGCAATATGGGCAGCGCCCCGCCTCCCACGGTCCCGAAACACACTTACTCTGCGTCTCGCAGTCCACACAATGCGAATTCCCTCTGATGTTTCGTATTGACTGCAGGGCCATGGCTTCACTCTGACTGGTCAGTCTCGACTGGGCAAAGAGAAAGATGGACAAATGCAAAACATTACAGCTCTGAGAGCTATTGGCATATCTACGAGTAATGGCAGAGAAAAATCAAACAGATCACAGACGCATATAGGACACGGTTGATTTTCAATGGCTACTCCTTTGACATCTTTGGGAAAAAGGGTAACTGGCCAAGAACTCATTATATTCCATGAATAAACAGCGCATATTAAAACTGATCAGACGACACCCACTCTGCCGGCGATGAGGCACGAGGTAAGTTCTGGATCATTTGTGAATGAACAGGAGACCCACTGCCACTTGGTGAATGTAACTGGTTGACATGCTTGTCCTGCCTGGACTCTGCTTGGTATGAAGATTAAAGAATGAGAAAGAAATAATCTGCTTATAAGCCAAGGGTCAGGACTTAATCAGTGCTGGGAGATATAGCTCACAACTCCTCGTCAGGAAACCACGTCCATGCCACACATCATCCCTCACAGATTCACTTTTCATTTTAAGATGAGCTCAGCTGCTCCAGCAACAAACTCCTGAAGGTTCTCCTGAACAACTGCCTGTAACTAACCCTCGTGAGGGCAGGCAGGGGAGTGGAGGTGGAGCGGGATGCACTGCTTCTCAAATTCACTGTGTTGTCTTCTTTAAAATTGATAAACACGTAAACCCCAGCATATGCTTATTGCCAGAAATTTGCAAAATACAGGGAGGGAAAAGAAGAACATAAAAATTTATGAACTAGGATATGACCACCCACTGTTCAACATTAGAAACATCTTGATATATATTCTTCTAGCTTCTTTTTTTTCTAAGCACATCTATGCACTTTAAAAAGATAGCACAATAGATACAGCTGAGGAATCTGCCTTTTTACCCTAACGACGCATCACTGTCTCTCAATGCTGTTGTGTCTTTCCTCACATCATCATTTTAAACGGCTGCATAGTATTCCACCAATGACAACTTACTTATCAATTCCCCTTTTGATGTACGTGAAAGTTGCTTCCTGTTTTCCTCTGAACAGTGCTGTAAAGAACATGCTTATTGCTAAATCTTTGCATGAATTGGTGATTATTTACTAAGGACGAACTCCTGCCAGGTAAAGGGATATCTAATCAATTTCAGAGGACAGTGACCATAAGCTTGAATTTTGGTGTTTCAGACTTCATAAACTGACCCCCCAAACCAAACCCACTGCCTTTGAGTCCATTCTGGCTCATAGTGACCCTACAGGACAGAGCAGGACTGCCCCTTAGGGTTACCAAGGCTGTAATCTTTATGGGAACAGACTGCCACATCTTTCTCCCACAGAGTGGCTGGTGGGTTCAAACCACTGACCTTTTGGTTCGCGGCCAAGTGCTTTAATCACCGCACCACCAGGGCTCCTTTAAATTCAACCACTGCGTGTCCAGTTGTTTCAGATGAAACAATTTATTGTTGACAACAAAGTGATACATTACAATTTATTAATTACTATTGCCTAATTAGCATAATGAATTATTGGATTTTTTTTACTCCCTTTGGTTAGATACTTAAGTATTCAAAGTATGTTTAAGACTTTATATTGAGTTTTCTATATTTTTACAACAATAAAAAAAGGAATGGATATTGGCACCTGGAACGTGCGTGTGTACACGCATTTGGGGACATGTTTCTCTGTTCGTCTCTAGGTAGGTATTTGCATCTGTATAATTTCTGAGGTAGGTATGTATCTATGCCCACCGTCAAATCTGGAGTATGTTCCAAAATAAAAAAACAAAACAAAACACCAAACTCGTTGCTGTCGAGCTGATTCCGACTCATAGTGACCCTACAGGACAGAGTAGAACTGCCCCACAGGGTTCCCAAGGAGCAGCTGGTGGATTCGAACCGCTGACCTTTTGGTTAGCAGCCAAATGCTTAACCACTGTATGTGCAGGCAGCTCCAATCCCTCAGCGCTCATTTTCCACTGAGTTGGTATCTTTTCCCTCAAGCTATTCCTGGCTGACATTATTTCTGAGCTTCTCCTTCTCACTCCTGATCAGCATGCGTCCAGAGGGCACAGGTATAAGCTGGCATCCTTTGAGCTGAACAACGAGCCCCCTCCCAGGGAAGGTACCCTCCTGAGAGCGTGCACATCGGGGGACAACAGGGACAGCGAGTTAAGGCTGGCATCTGCGTCAGCTCAGGGGATGCAGAGCAGAGGGCTGGGAAGAGTCCAGCGAGGGTGCGCCGTTGAAAAGGCAGACGCTGTGCCTGAGCTTCCTGAATCCGGCTTACATGACGTGGATTCAGAGGCTGCCTGGACAGTCTGTGATTTTCCATCATGTCCGGATATGCGTTTGCCTGGTCAGTAACACATGGCCTCCCCATTCCTGGCCTGAAGCTAAACCCCAATG